CGTTGGAAGCACTGTCTGACGCCTCTGCCTCCGCGACCCGAAAGGAGAAGCGGCGATGGAAGATGAAGATAGAAGCGTTACACGTTAAAACGAAATTCTTACCTGCAACGCGCAACGTGAGAAGTCTCGCACCCTTAATGAGTAAAATCAAGTTATGTAGCACTGTTTCCCTGCTGCAAGTGAAATCGGTCGAAAGAAACACGTAAGTACCTCTATTATTTTACGTTAGATATCGGATGACTAGTAATGTCCAGCATCTCAGTAGACTTCTGACGGCGTGCATGCCTTAACGTGATTCGCATCATACAGATAAAATTATGTTTATTCCAGATTTTAAATGAGACATTCGAAAAAAAGAACCGGCAGAGAGTGGAAACGCCGTTTTTATAATTACTAGTTTCCACTCAACTCCATGGACTCACGAGGGATTGCGTCATCAGCATGCCTGATACTTTTACTGGCAGTTAACACTTATCTATGCAGTAATTTGGAAGATTTGGCTTCAAGCCTTATATGCGGAGAACGATTTTCTTTATCAATTGCTACTTAATTCTTGGGCAATGAATTCATCCTACTGTGATGCGATTTAACGAGCCGAAAAGAGAGTAGCGACAGCAAATGTGGTCATGCGAAAGCAAGATACAAGAATTATAGAACCTGAAACTAGCACGTTCTGCTATGATGATATCTGATATACTTTGCAAATAACTAAAAGTTAGAACAAGTTGCAAACTTAGGGTTTAAAATAGCCGAGGGTTCATTGTATACTTCCATTATATTTTTGCTGGCTTCTATATTACCTGAGTGCTAAATAAGTATGGTATTGTAAAGGCGAAAGTTTGTCCTTTCAATGGACAGTTCTGACGAAAAGTACCTTAGGCGATGTTTAGAACTTGCTCGAGAAGCTCTGGCAGAAAGTGAGGTTCCAGTAGGATGTGTGGTCGCTTACGAAGGTGTTGTGATTGGCGAAGGAAGGAACAGAGTGAATGAATTTCGTAATGCGACCAGGCACGCGGAGATGGTTGCCTTTGACCATGTTATATCGTGGACACACAACAATGGAATTTTGCTTGCCGAAGTGCTTCCTCGCTGCACGTTGTATGCCAATGTTGAACCCTGCATTATGTGTTCCGGGGCGATCGTGCAGCTGAATATCGGCCGAATCGTGTATGGTTGCAACAATGAGCGTTTCGGGGGTTTTGGCACCGTCCTGAATGTTCCGGAGACGATGGACAAGAAACTAGCAGTCAAATCAGGTCTTTTCGTTGACGAAGCCATTGAACTTCTGAAAAAGTTTTATGCAGGCGAGAATCCAAACGCTCCAGAGTCGAAGTGTAAAAGGAAAAAAACAGGTAATTGACTCCGAAAAGAAATCAGGAATCAATCCTGCAGAAACCTTCCTACGTGTTCCTTAACATTAGTAACGGTTTTCGAAAATTTTCGAATGCTTAGGTGGGAGTTACATAAGTGATTTTTTGACATAACGCAAATTAGTTGAAGATCAAATATTATTCAGAGCAGAAAACTTTATGAAATGATGTCTGAACCTGTTAACTGTTTCTTGTCGACAACTTTAAATAAGCGAGTAAATCCAAGGATATAAACTATAATTTGGAAATCAGCAACAAAAGGTAAAAATGTTTACAAGCGCCGCATATTACGGTCAAATATTTCAAAATCATTCATGAAATGGAATTTAAATGTGCTTCAGCGAAAACGTTTATCCGGTTGGTTACCTAATCTAATTTTTTAAGCATAGACTTCCAGCGGGGTGTCATAATCAGCGTTGCTCCTAGCCATTAACACTTAACTGTAAAAGAGAAATTCCTGGATATTAAATCCGTTGCTATAGGTCTGCGGCTACTTGGCCTTTATCAGCACGCATTTGTCTTATTCTGACGGGTATCTTGCGTTGTGCTTTCCGTAATGTGGCGAGCAAAAACCTGTTTTCGTCCATCCAAAGTAGATATTTTATTCTATTTTACGGTGTAGTTATTCATTGTAATGTTAAATATTTACATCTTCTTAAAATTTTTACT